CTGGAGATGCTAAATAGTCAGCCTCCTGTTTGTGGGAAGCAGGTTTCTATTTTCCCTTGTGAAAAAGAAGTGTGCTTACTTGTACTGAATGTGCGCTTGTAGTGTACTTTATATAAGTTTATTTTAAGTATATACTTTAATTCTTCAAAAAAATATATATAAAAAAACGACTTGCAGATAATATGTTATTGAAATAAAATGCCACATAAATGTACTTAAAGACAGAAAACTTTCATGTTTCTCCCCTTTAAAAAGTGCACATTGTAATAAAGCAAAATTAAAAGTGAAATAATTATCTTTTGTTGTGCTTTAAAGGAGCACACTTCAGTCTTGACTGCTCAATTATAATTATAACTGTAGATTGTTACTTGATATTACATTTAAAGTTACATATTTTCATTAATTACAAATATATTTGAATACATGACATACACATTTCAATAGAAATGACATTAAATGCATGCATTTTATTTTACTATAAATGCTTGTTGGTACATTCAGCAGTACACTTTCACCATATTTCAGTAAACCACTAGAAGTAATTATGAAATGAGTTATAACAATCAATCAATCAATCAATAAGTCCTACGTATGTGTCAAAAAAGAAGCACTCTAAAGTTAAACTGCATTAAGTATAAATTTAAACAATTGATCTGTTTGAACAAACAAAATAACTAGATACTAAAATCTTACACATAATAAGCAAGACTTCAATAACTCTTTCAGTATTAATCTGATTAGATGAACATTCCCTGGGTTAGCTATGAAATTAACAAAATCTTGTGTTTACATCAGTTTGTTTGAGCTTTGTGACTGCCATTCAATACATACTGTAAAGATATTCTGCAAAGTCTTTTAAGAAGCTAAAAATTAGGTCTCAAAGAGGTTGAACACAGAATGAGGCATCAATTATCCTGTCAATCAAGTATTATAAAAGTGATGAGAACGCTAAGGTTCGTCTGTGATACGGGATGTACTGTCAATGACGTGTCATTTCCTGCCAGGCTTAAGATCTATGTGGTGAATGAGAAGTGCATCTGGTGTTTTACCACTGACTGAGATGATATCTGGGAAACCTACGTGTTCAGCAGAAGCAAACAGCAGACAAATCAACTTATGCAAACCACATTCAGCAAGATTAAGTGTACAGTGAGAAACAGCCCAAACAGAACCAGCCTGCGCTACAAAGCACCAAAGCATAAAAGTTTATTAAAGAGGCATTATATAAATATGGAAATGAATAAATATTAGAGAACTTCGTACATAAATACACAAAACACATTTAGACAAAATATCAATTAGATCAAATGAAATAAACTGACAATAAAAATGACTGCTTAATAGTGTAAAATACACAAATACATGATTTAAATAAATAGTTAAATAATTCCATCTCTGTACATCAATATTTAGCTTTTCACTCACTAATTCAAACCACGATGTAGCATTGTACAGAAAATATGCTGTCTGAACAGGGTCTCTCATGGGGTCTCCTTGAGCATATGGCCAGGATTTGTTTTCCTGGACTAACTTTAAAATGGCTTTAAAATCTACTTTACCAGAGAGCTTAGTTTCGAGCCTACTCTAATGCACTAGCCTTTAATTTTCCAGTGAAGCCCACAACCTTGATTAGGTGTGTTTGATTGCATTAGAAGTGTGAAAAAACTCTCTGTCCATACTGTCAGCAAAGGTTCGCAGAGGATCCTGCAGGAAGGACATTTAACTTCTGGATGTTTTCCACAGCACCTGAAAACAGGAACAGATTGTTTTCATTTACTGGCACTAAAGTGTTTGTGTTATTGTGTAACTGAAATGAAAACCAATTTTAACTGAAAATATTTAATTTGGTGCAATTTTCAATTTTGTTTGTTTATTATTCATTATAAAGTATTATGCTGTTCTATGCAATATGTGATACTATGTTAATACTTTTTAACATATGTAATTCCTGACCAGCTGATCCCTTGTTGATGCACACTCTTAAAAATAAAGGTTCTTTATTGTCATCTATGTTTCACGAAGGGCCTTTAACATCCATGGAACCTTTCCTTATAGTGGCAAAAGATCCGTTAAATTATTAAAATGTTCTTTACACTACGGAACCAAAAATGGTTCTTTTAAGGCATCACTGGGTATAGGTATACTGAATACATTTTACTTGAATAAACCAGTTAATTTAGTTGTTTACAGTGTAGACTTGCTGTAGTTTCATATCAGAACAGTATCAAGAATTGTCAGCAAAGTTTCTTCCTGTAAAAGCAGAATTTCTACATATAAGCACACACACTCCCCACATTCCGCCCACACACACACACACACACACACACACACAAACAGATCTTCTGATGCTTTTGTTGGCATCCTGAGGGCAGAGCGTGGCTTTATGGGGAAATGATGCGTTTCACTTGTGGGTAGTTTATGCCCACATCTCTCTGTCTTACTCTCACACACAAACACACATTAACACACACCTCCTGCCAGACGCACTTCCTCTGCGATGAGTGTCTGAAGCTCTTCGCATTTCTCTGTAAACTGTATCTGTAGTGTGGTGTAAATGTGAGGGGGAAACACAGAGAAAGAAAAAAACCTGTTAAGCATGAAGAAACCTGTTTTGTTCACGATTCACACAGTTACCCAATATACAACAACATGACCGTAAATATCTACTGATACACAAGTTACGCGAAACAGGAGAAGAATGATTATGTAGTGTTATAAAGATACATAATTAGGGTACAAAATGGGACTGAGGCTAATAAGAAATGTCAATATTTTGAAGAAAATCACCTTCAGGAGATAAAGCTTGCTAAGCAATTGTCTCTGCTTTTCTGTAGAACCTCTGATAATCTCCATCCTACAGTCAACAAAAGACAAGACAAAAAAATATATTCAGATCAAGCAGCACTTACAATAAAAACTAGGGTTAGACAGGGTTTTGACTGGTTCATTGAGCTTATTATATAATAACAATGATACTAATACTTTATTAAGACAGTATTAAAACACATATGTGACCCTGGAGCACAAACCAGTCTTAAGTTGCACGGGTATATTTGTAGCAATAGCCAAAAATACATTGTATGGGTCAAAATGATTAATTTTTCTTTTATGCCAAAAATCATTAGGATATTAAGTATAAGATATTTTGTAAATTTCCTACCGTAAATATATCAAAACTTCAGTTTTGATTAGTAATATGCATTGCTAAGAACTAAATTTTGACAACTTTAAAGGCAATTTTCTCAATATTTCGTTTTTTTTTTTTGCACCCTCAGATTCCAGATTTTCAAATAGTTGTATCTCGACCAAATATTGTCCTGTCCTAACAAACCATACATCAATGGAAAGCTTATTTATTCAGCTTTCGGATGATGTATAAATCTCAATTTCGGAAAAATTGGCACTTAAGACTGGTTTTGTGGTCACATATTGTAATATTATAAAAATTATTGCAATCCAATAAGCACTGCATTAAACATTTTGAATGAAATATAATCAAATGCGATGCTTTACAAAGGGGCCATTAATAAAAATGTGACTTCTACTTTTCTTATTAAAAATGACATTAAAATACTTAATAATAACAACAACAACAACAATAATAACAATAATATAAAACCTTAATAAAAAGGTATGTGTGTGTATACATGTGGTGACCTGTTATATCTAATTAAATATTAAATATGTAGACTTTAACCATAAATTATGCTAATTCATATTTTTTCCTCACAAACAATTAAAATAAAAATATTTCAGTGAACAAACTAACATTTTTTTACTGTAGCATTTTTATATTCTTTTTCCGCTGAAAATACATTGTATAACTGTACATTAATCATCAAAAACGTAACATAGACAATAGTGTTGAGTCTTACATTAAGGTGGAGGACTTTTGAACCAGATTGTTGATCTGCTGCTGAGTGAATCCAGCAATATACACACTGTTGACCGTTATAATAACATCACCTGAGGTGAGAGACAAAGAGATTTTAGTAAGTATGAATGACACTGGTGCTCGACAGAAGTGAGCAGGTGTCTTGATAACTTACCTGTCATTAACCCACTACTCTCTGCCAGACTGTTCTCCTTCACCCAACACACACACGAGCCCAAATCCTGCTCAGTACTGATGCTTCTCTCAACACTGCTTGTCTATGGACAGGGAGTAAAGACCCAATCAATTCATCATCCAAAATCCAATTATCCCCTGACAGATAATAAGCCCTCAGGCAGGCACGTAATGCTTGAATGAATGGAGAAAAAAGTATAAGCAGAGTATGAGAGAGAGAGAGGGTGGGTGGGTAATGAGGTTACCTGGATGTCAAACCCAAAAGTTTC